GAACACTGTACACAGATTTCTTTGTGTAAAGGATTTTATTTGTAATTTGAATTTCAAATGTACTTACCTCTTCCATCCTATAACCTTCAAACACATACACATAACGACCAGGACGGCCAACAAACCTGAAAGCAATAATAACATATAAACTAGTATAAAAACAGAAAAATAAGCTAATTTTGACACCATGATTTAATATAAAAACACAAAAATAAGTTAACTTCGAAACCAAGACTGTTCATTTGTATTAGTCAAAATATTTCAGAAGTTGCTTCTTAAACATGACTTTTCAAGGGCTCAGCATCTACTCAACTTCAATTATTTCAAAGAAATAAGCCTGTACAAATGGTGTGCTACTATATCTGGATAAAATAATTTTAATAAAATATTTTTCAGTGCTAAAACCCCTCACTTGATTAGAGATGGCAAATAAACCAGGGGACACATATCCTAATTCACATTCTCTGACGTGTGAATAAGGCCCTGAATGGAATTATTTACAAGTCTATATACAACCAAGACTCTTCTGGCTACACCAGGAGAAGCAATGCTATTGACTATATTCAAACCATACAACACAAAAAAATGGTTAAAAAAAGAGAGAATTTGGTGACTTTTTTTTCATTGGTGCCTTATAATATTTGCAACTGCTGGCCAAATGCATCATTAATCCTCAAATGAAAGGTGCTGGATAGGATTAGTGAAGAGCAGAGATTAACAAACTTTACAGCCCCCAAAAGGAAGAGTAAAATGGTAGGAAACAGAATCCAGAGGATGATTTAAACATGTTTTTTGCCAAAGTTTTAGCAAAGAATCATTTCAAGTTTCCCATTCAAAAGCATGTAGATGACTGGGTCCCAAAAGAAAAGGTTTCTGAGCCCATAGGAAGTCACACTTATTTAGGAGGACAGCTGAATTAGCTTTTTGGTCAATCACTTCATTTGCCAGTTGACTGTAGCTATTTCTTAATTTGATACACAAGAATAATGCAAAATAATGTGAAAGTAATAGAAAAAAAAGCTCCATAATTTTAAATGAAACAGGAAGACCTTTCTTTGCTAAATTATGCTTCAAGGAAAATTTGCTAAACTGTGGGAAGTTAAAGCCTGTAAGCACTGCCATTCATTATAAAAACTACACTTTTTTCAAAAAGCAAAATGAATTATCAACTTGAGATAACCTTGTCAAAGATATTTTTTAAGAGCTGGCAAAGATGACCAGTCTCAGGTCTTTGTGCCCATTTTTATGCACAGATCCACTAATATAGACACAGATATAAAAATGCATATACAGAAATATATATATGTAAAGGATATTTATCCTACCTTCCTTTAAAAAAGGCAACATAAAAAATGGACGCATAAGAATTCACAAACTTCAGTAGGAATGCCTTCAAAATCAGTCTTTCCTCAAAAATTTTCTCTGTTTTTGGTATTTCTGGGAGAAAAAAAAAGCAAACCAGAAAACTGAATCAGCAAGTAATATAAAAATTCCTGAATCCCCAAACACGTACAAAAAAAACCCCAAACTTCAAATTTTGGGCTTATATTCATTTTTCTTTTGTACCCCTAATTGTCCCTAATTGGGACTCTGCCACTGAGTCCTGATTTCCAGAGATATTCCATTCCACAAAGCAAAAGCAGTATAAATGACTCTGCTGTATATATGGATATTAACATACACATATCTGTTACACAACTAAAATAACAAAACATTCATATTCTCAATTGAGAAATGCTGAAAGCAAAGCACAAAGACTTTCAACCAGAAAAAAAAAAAAACCTTAAAAGCATCCTTAACTTGTAGTCCACAAGCCTTCTTTTCTGTGGTGAGATTGTTATGTTTCATGCTAAATACAAGACTAAATACTTATGAATAAGGCATAAAATGAATTAAGTGCAAAATAAAGGCACACTTTTTTGTTAACAATTCACTATATATATTCTGTATTTCAAGATTTCTTGGCTTAAATATTTTCAGTATTCACTACTCTGTTCCCAGATTTATTTTCAATTTCTGTGGAAATTTTATGGCAGCAGAAAGCACAGGTATAAGAGGATTTTCAAACTGATGGTAGGATCCTTTTTTAAAGATTTTTATATGGGTGAAACACTTGTGTTTCTCTGCTCATCCTAAGCTGTATATAATGTGAGAGAAGATCAGTTTATGATTAAATTTATCATCCTTGGCTGAACTTCTGAGGCACAGAGAAAGTGTGGAATAATAAGGAGATCCAGAGCTCTGGCTTAAGGACCACATTAAAAATACTGCTGCACTTGCACAGTTTTGTTTCAGGCACAGTTTGTGTGTTCTGTTTGCTTTGCTGTTGTTTTGGGGTGTTTCTTCTTAAAAAAGCTGCATGATTATTTTAGCATTAAAGGAATAGAGAAGCCTAATAAGCCCTCACTGCCTGATTTTCTTTGTGATACTTTAAACCCCATTTTCATAAAAGATCAGTGCACTAAAGCATAATCTACGTACAAGTATAAAAAAGCTTAATTAAACATTCATACAATTTGTAGGTGATCCCACAGCCTGAATAGATCTGTAAGAGAAAAACTCAGGGCAGTACGAATATCAATAACAGCAGTGTAACTTTTCATTTGAGGGAGAAAAATCCTAAACCCTGCCTTACAGAGAACCACCCCCATGGATGAGCTCAGCCTCTGGATGAACATTTGCACACCATATATGGTCCCAGAGGCTCCCTCAGACATCCTATAGCATAGCTTTAGGGGCATGTGTAGAATTTGTCCTCCAGCTCCTCGGGTGTGCTGCGTGAGAAATGATTCAGCCAGAATAGGTGTGTTAGTAACAGAGAAAAACTCGCTCATCCCCAAAAAATGAAACACTCAGTGGTGGGTTGTTATGCCAAAATTAGGCAGCTGGAGCTTTGCAGGTGGAGGATGAGTTGAGCTAAGGGTGGAATGGGCCTTAGCTCTCTGAAGGAGCTGCTGCCTTTTCAAGGGACAAACAGGAGTATTTTTGATTTTGCCCCCATTCCAGTGGTTCTTCCTTGGCCTCAAGGAAGGGTTGAGGGTGCTGAGGCCCTGGCACAGGATACCCAGAGCAGCTGTGGCTGCCCCATCCCTGGCAGTGCCCAAGGCCAGGTTGGATGGAGAGCAACTCAGAGCAACCTAGGCTAGTGGAAGGTGTCCCTGCCCATGGCAGGGGCTTGGAATGAGGTGAGCTTTAAGGTCCCTCCCAGCCCAAACCATTCTGTGATTTTGAGTCACAAGTGAGCTGTAAATCTTGTCTGGCACCACTTGAATACTGAAGATGATCTGTTCTTCCTGGGAATAGCAGGATACCATCTGCACTTTGGCTGGTCTCATCTGTGATAAAGGGGCAACAGTGTCCCACTCTGCTGGGCACGCAGGAGTCCTGCTCCATCCTGTACAAACTCTCTGTATTGGTAACAACAAAACTCCTCTTTGCCTCCTGACTGAGGAGGTATTGAGGCACATGCATGACTCTGATCCCATGACTGATTAACACTATCAGTGCTATTCTTGTGCTTACAGATGTATTTTTTCACCTGAACAGAGATTCAAGTGTACTTGGGGCAGAAATAAAAACTTACGCTGTCAAGAGCTACTCCTCCAGCCCAACAAGTGTGCTCTTCAGCTTGTGGATTAAGTGCAGTGTGAAATGAGAATTGGGCATGTTTTTCTTCTCTCAGCAAAAGGAGAGTTCACAAGTTAAGCAACATTTATCAGCATGCATGAATTGTAATTTTTTAAAACATTTTGATTGCATTTGGCATCAGAGCCTAGCGCAGGAGAAAGCTGCCTGAGTGAACTTTCTAACTCATGTAATTTGTAGCATTAGAGATTATTCTGACTGGATCCTTCTTAAACAAAACATCTGATGGTTGATTAGGAATGCTGCCCTAATGCTGCCCTAATAAAGACAGGATTAGAACTAGATGCAAAGTGACAGGAGGGCAATAATCAGCAAGTAAGAAATTGTTGTTTATTTTACAGTTCACCCTGGTGCACATTTCAAAGGGAGAGATTCTCCTTCTGTACTTCCCAAAAAGAGGCCATGGCTGTACCTGACACTTCCCAGCTCTCAGGGAAGTCTCACCTTCATCTTTTCCTACTCTTTCCACACAGCTCTGTCATTCCTTAACATTTGTACCCTTTCTTACCTGGGCAGGTGCAGTGAACAGAATTGATCAGGTCATACACAGTTAGCAGACTGTCACTCACACGAAAGCTAAAAATCTGGGTACAGTTTTGGTCAGAACAGTGAGCCTGAGCTCATTTATGCCACTAGAACAGAGTGGCATTTGTGTAACCCTGTTATAACCTGCCCAAAGCCTGGTGCAAAACAGAAATAAACAAACAAATGAACCCCCTAAAGCAATCTATGAAAATTAATTGCTTTGTCTTCATTTCTTTCAAATACTTGAGGAATTGAATTTAAACTAACAGGACCATACTTACAAAATTTAAGATGGACCTCTAACAACTGAAAAACTGCAGTTTTATTGTTGTTCTAAAAATAGGACTGAAAGAGATGTTTTCATTTGTGATGTTAAAAGTGTTTTGAGAAATTGAGAAGAAACAGAACTCTTAAAAGTAATCTCATGTAAAGGCACTATCAGTCAACATTCTTGGTCTAATTTATATAATAAAACAAAACCCCAGCCTATACCCCTATTAGTAAACATCTTTAGCCTAATGTATATAACAAATCAATACTTTAGGCCTAAACCTCTATAGGAGTCAAAGGAATGACTTCCCTTCAAAAGAAATAAATAGCCAGGCTTGCAACAATATTTTGATGTTTAAGATAAATTTTGAAAGTCCAACCACTAACTGCAGTACAAACCATTAATAAAAAGTCCAGCCCAGACATGCCGCTAAAATGGAACAAAAAAATCATTTGAGCAGTAAGGAAATGGTTAAAACTTCCATCAGGGAAACAGCATCAGTGTAACTTTGTGAGAACCATCACTATTTTTAAAGTAATCCACTGACTTTCTGCAGCTCTTAGCTTAAAGAGGAACCTTCACAGGCCTGAATGTTTTCACTGGCCCTGTCCAGGAGGAAATTCTCCTCCTGGACCCTCCTTGCACCCCCTGGTGTCAATACATGGATTAATAAGGAATGTGGCGAGGCAGTTTTACCGATTTCTGTCAGCCATTTGGCCACAGCTCCATAAATTTCGTCGAGGATGAGGACCACCACGAGGTTAATGACGACAGCAGTGGCAGTGACGGTGACTCGAGCGTTGGACCTGGTCGTCTCGTCTGCGCTGAAGGACAAGGCTGCTGCCGTGGTGATGCGGTACACAATGACCCCAAACACTGCTGAAAACGCCAGCAGGATCTGCAAGCACAGGAACACACAGATTAGCTCAGCCTGGAAACAGAAGCTGTGGCTGGGAGGTTGGGTATGTTCCATGGATTGGCATTGTTGTTCCTTAGTGCGAGGTGACAACGTGCAGATGATGGAATTAAAAGGTTTTCCAACAAACAGGGATGTAAATAAGAAATAAGGAAATGGATGCACGGCTCCAAACTGGCACAACAATTCAACTGAGGCTGGATGCCTCACAGCAGCTCTCCTGTGAAAACAGCCTGAGAAAGTTGGGATTGTCCAGCCTGGAAAAGAGTAAGGCTCCAGGGAGACCTTATACCACCTTTCAGTATCTGAGGGAGGCTTATAAAAAAGAGGGAAAGTGAATTTTCACATGGGAAGGTAGTGGTAGGAAAAGGGAGGATGGTTTTAAACCAAAAGAGATTTTTGTTAGATATTAGGAAGAAATTCTTCTCTGTGAGGGTGGAGAGGCCCTGGCACAGGTTGCCCAGAGAAGCTGTGGCTGCCCCATCCCTGGAAGAGACCAAGGCCAGGCTGGATGGGACCTGAGTGTCCTAATCCAGTCAGTGGCATCCCTGCCCCTGACAGGGAGTTAGAATTAGATAACATTTAAGGTCCTTTTCAACCCAAACCAATCTATGATTCTTTTATACCAATTCCATGGATTCCTGCAGATGGGCATGTCTGTTCTGATTAAAGCTACACACATCATTCATGCAGTGAAATTTGGGCATTTTGGGTTCAAAAGCAGGAATTAAACAAGATCTTTTTTTATGGCAATAGATTCAGGTGGCTTGAACTGAAGGGCCTGTATTTATGTGCAGTCAGGTAAATTGGCTTTACTGGCCCAAACAGCTTCACCTGTGCACAGCAGAAGTGCAAACTTACAAATTTAAAAATAAAAAGCTTCCCCTGTTATTATTCCTTTAAGGCTGACCTAAGCAGAGTTATAAGAGCTTCACTTTACATTTGTGTCCCAGAAATCACTTGGTATCCCTGGCATCCTTTCTGGGCTGGCTTTCACCCATGAGATGAGGAAAGTTGGCCCTTCTATTTAAGGTCAAGTTCCCACAAGAAGAATTTGAATTTCATAGGGCTGTGGTATTCTGTTAAAAAAAAAAAAAATCTAAATTAATCCACAAAGAAAAAGAAATCATTAAAACAATAATAAAAAATAGCAAATTTTCATCATCACAGCACAAAAAGGGGAGAAGCTACATTTTTCCCCTTCATTTTTGCCTTTAGCAAGAATTCCAGTGTACATTCATTATTTAAGGTAAAACATCTTGAGATCCTCAGATGAAAGAGACTACCTCAATGTGAAAGATTAGACGACTGCAATTATTAAAATGGGCCTAGGGGCCCAGATACAAAATATGGGTTTAAGGAAATTTAACAGTTTATTTTAATGATCCAGCAATATTGAATTGAATTCCTGTATGCAGAAAAAGGTTGTTGCATAAAAAGGAACTATTGCAAAAGAACCACAAAAAGAATCAGAGTTAAATTATTAAAGGTTGAAGGTGAAAACTGGGCACATTTTGCTTTTATGAAGAACTAGTAAACATACTAAGAATTAATTATTTGGAGAAACTCCTGGACATTTCAAATGAAATTGTCAAATATGTTTTGTCAGCAAATAGTAATAGTTAGACCTAGTAAAACATCTAATTTTACTTTTTAAAGAACTGTTTCATTAATTTTAAATGAAATGTAGGTGAATGATAAAAGCCTGAACCTGAAACAGTTTAAATGAAAACTTTTCAAATTATATTAAATATTATTTCCTTTGGTTTTGTGGTTTTCATTGTGTCAAGGAAATATTTCTGGGGTTTATATCTATTTTTATTTTGACTTACCTGCCAAAAGGACAAAAAAAAAAAATCACATTCATGCTGAACTACCTTGCTGTGACAGAAGGGATGCAGGAACATGTAACTTTTCCTTGCTTCCCCATTATAATCACTAGAGTAGAGAGTAAAAATCCCAACAAAGGACAAAAACAAAACAGCAACACCTGGTATTAATTTACTTTACCTTCCACCTCTACAGACACCTGAAGCTCCTTTCTTTTTCTTAATCTGAGTCACAGATTCCTCCTTCTTAATCAACTTCCTGATACTCTCTTCCTGTTTCTTTTCCCTGTGGATTTCTTTGCAATTTTTTCACTATGGTGGTGGACAAGGAAAATCAGCAATTGGATGCCTCATTCTGGAGCAGATGAGATCCCTCCACATACACCTCTCTCCATCACAAATTCCCACTTAGGAATGATAACTTAACAGTACAGGAAGAAGAGTCAAGCACAGTCCACACTAAAGAGACAAAAAGGAAATTTTTATCATGAAAGCTCAAAAGCAAACTCTTGACCTTGACCAAAGGATTTTAGGGATGCCTTGCCCTGAGGAATGTTACTGGAGGATGAGAGTAGCAACCTTTTCAATCCATGCATTGCCATAGCAAGGTGTACAAAGTTACTGAAAAAAAAATAATTTAGTTGTTTAAAGAACAAAAATATTTGCTTTGCAAAAGCACCAGGGCTTCAGAAACTCTCAGTTGCTCAGCTGTTTTTAAACATCTGCTTAGACACAGATGGAAAAACACTCCTTTAGGAGTCTTCATTATCTGTGCTTCCAGCAAGAAGAGAAAATTGAGGAGGGCTTGTAGGACTGCACAGTTACTGTGAGCACAGTTCTCACTCCCCAGACAGTCACTGAGGGGGAATGGTTCCTGTATCTTCACAGCATTTGTCTCATTCCTGAAAATACCTCTTCTGCCCAAATTCCTGATCAGGCAGGCCACCATTTGTTCAGGTGCCCACTCTGGGGGCTGTTGTCATTGCCAACATTCCCTCTGGCCATCCTTCCCCCCCATTATGGCAGTTTCTTCCCTGAATAGCTGAACTAGTCCATCCAGGACTGAAATGCTTAGAAACAGATGTGAAAATTGGCTGCAGAAAAGGTCACCTACTGAGCCTGGTATGAATGAAGACAAACAGGAAAGCAAACTAGATCTGAGAAGGAAGTTATAAAACCCCATGGGCTAGGCTGCTACCTCCATCCAAGCAGGATAACAATTTAATGTCCAGATAGTTCTCTGGCTCCACAGTAGGGCTATTCTAGAGTCAAGTATTACACCATGTGAGTGAGAACAGTGTGGAAGAGGCTGAACTCTTCTGCCATGACACAAATTGATTTTCTTCCTTCCTCTGACTGAGCCAAACAAAGAAAAGCCCCAGCGATGCATTGCTCCATGCCACCCTGCTCTCTTCCAACACTACCAGCATTTTTACCCCCAACTCAGAAATCCCTGCCACAACATGTGCCTTCTAAATTGTGGCATGTTATTGCTAATCACACTCAAGAAAAACTTTTAGATGCCCAGCTGAGCCCAGATCTTCTTCTACCATTGATCTTACTCTGCAAAAATAAGACTTATTAACTTCTGTCCTACAATCCCTGCAAAATGCATAGCTTAAATCAGACTTGGATCTTCTGCCCCCTCTGCAGTCCAGTGAGACTTTGTGCACAACAAAAGAACTGTGATCAGATTTTAAAGCATCCAAACATGTGTGAATTAATCCTTGGAATTGTTTGATGATATAAGACTGGACATGAGCAGCAAACACAATGGTTTTTTTCAGCCTGCATCTTGAAAAAAATGAACAGCATGCCTAGCTTAATACAGACAGAAAAAGCCAGGAAGAAAAGACCATGACACAATTCTTGAAAGAGAATTCACAAAAATGAAGTCCGCAACAGAAGTATGGAAATAAAGGGGGGGAAAAAAATAAAGATGAAAGATTTTACACTAAGAAAATCAAATCCAGCTTCAAGAATCACCAGAGAAAGTGTGGGATGTAAAGCTCGGGAAGGAGGGACTGAACAAAACAGCATCACTCCATAGCAACATAGAAATCTTCATGGAAAACACCTATAGATTTGGAACACCAGACCCTTTTGGCCTGGAAAAGGTAGCATTAAAATTCAACAATCACTTCTGCAGCACTAGAAATTGCTATGCACTTGTGTGCAGGTCTCTGTCAGACTCTTGTACCCCTGCACACACACATAAATTGAAGATTTTATTATTTATTTTGTACATAGTCCTTACAGTTAAAACAATTAATTTGTGTGAATAATAATAGAGGTTAACAAGACCAATAATGTTTCTCAGTACAATTCTATTTCTCTGACTGATAACAAAACTTCAGTCTGATCTTTCCAATTCCTTTTTACCTAATCTAGCAGGAAAAAGGGAAACAACCCATAGAGTAAAGAACAGATTGCAATATCCATGTAGGATAGCAGAGCATGCTCTCCCTCATCAAGAGTTGGCTTGAATTTCATGCATGGTTTGCAAGCTGTCTCCTGAAGGTACTTACATATAAATAATGCTCAAAATATTGCAAAAATAAGATCATTGTGTCCACTTTGCCAGATGGTGCAAGTCAGCCTAGTTCCACTAGTCACAAACAGAAGTTGAAGAATTGGAGCTCTGCATTTTACATCTCTCAAACTGTAGGTAATAACCCTTTATAAATCTCTCTGAGATGTTACAGTAAGCAGGGAGGGTAATACCTAGGCTGTGAGTCAGGAAAGCACTTTAAGCTCATGCTTAGGGGAAATTTAAACATGTGGTGAAAGTCAAGAGCACATATAAGCACCTTGTCTGCAAAAGAATGACTTGGAAAAGCTCAGTCAGGGCTGTGTGTTTAGTCAGACTCAGTGTGGCCTGCTCTAATTGAAGCCATGACTCAATCCACTTGAGAGGCTCTGTCTAAAAAGCAAATTGTGGGTATGGCCTCAGGATGGTAAACCCACTCAAAATGCTACAAGTACGTGCATCTATGACACATCTAAAATGTACAGAGAATATTCGGAATATGCAAGGCATACATCTTCATAAATATATATAAACGTATCTATAAGGGTGTAGACATTTACTTCAATGTGAGTATTTGATTGTCAGAAAAAGAAATGAAATCTTCTCAGGGCATCTGGTGCAGCATATGCAAATTTGAGTAAATTAGAAATACACTTAGGTATCTTAAAATAATTTAGGCCCCAGGTGAGTTTCTCTAGTTACATGCTGTGTAAACAGGCCTATTTCATTGCCATTTTACAGTGGCTGTAGATATGAACAGCTTTCACTCAGTAATTCCTGTAACCAGAGGGATAATGGGATCCTTTACCATCTAATTTAGGGTTTGTTAGCCAGGCTTTCCTGTTGCTGTTTACAAAGTCCAGCAGCTTCCTGATTTGGGTTTTTTTTCTGGAAATTTGACTTTTGACTAGGACAATGGTATCGCCACTTTAGAGGCTGCACTGCACACCTGATTCAAGTGTGGGGGAGGACTGAACAAGAGGGAGGACTGTGTACCATGATCCCACTGTATACCATGATCTACTGTACAATCCATCCTTGAATGTGTCTTGGATAAATATTTCTCAGCAACTGATTTATTTCACTTGGATGTCACCTGTTCAGAGGCTCAACCTTTTTGAACGTCACTGTGACCAACATATGCAATACTGTGCTGACAACTAAATATCAATGTCATCCCTTTATTGGATAACAGAGATGGAGCAGAAACCCAGGGGGAGAGGCAGAATTTGTGCAATGAACTGCTGGCATTACAGCAAATCACACCTTCCACAAGCAGCCTTTGGAAAAAGAGAATAAAGCTGGAGGCAGGCATTGAGCTCCATGAACCATCCTAGTATTTCTCCAAAATTGACCTTACCTTCAGATTTTTAACGTATTTGAAAACAGCAATTCAGGGGTTTCCTTCTAGATGCTCATGGCAAAGTTTCTCACCCCTAATAAACAAGCAGAAATGCAAATTATGTTACCATAAATAGAATCAGTCCAAAGTTTGCTGCATATCCAGGCATGCGGTCAATCCATGTCAGCTTCTCCTTTTCATTCTGTAGCAAAACACATAAACAAAAATAACAGATGAATCAGAACTGTACAATAGGAAACATTAGAATTAATAGGATTTATTGTTGAGAGCCATTATCAATTCCTCTGCTGTGATTTTGAAGTATATTATGTGATTTAGAACACTGTTATTTTAAAGTAGATTTTAATTTGAGATAAAGGAGAGGAAGAGTAAATAAGACATGTAGAAAATGTCTGTAAAATTCAGAAAATATCCTATGCAACTCTGATTTAAGTATTTGAAAACATGTATTCAAGTCTCACTAAAGTTTTATCAGGAGAAAACCCTGAAATTGACCTTAATACACATTTAGGCAAAGCAAAATTCAAGCATTTATTTTTAATTGCTTCTTGTAAAAGTACAGAAGAATAGTGCTTGAGACAGAAACCATGATAAGAAGGCTGACTACCATTGAACACAGACTTTTTTTCTTTTTTTTTTTCCTAGTGGTCATAAGCACCAAATGTGACCCCTCAGATAATTCTTGGCAAGATACCCCAGTCCTTCCCCTGGTACATGTTTTATAGCATAGGGAAACTACAAAAGCAAGGCCTCTCTGATCCCTGCTGCCAACCTTGTTTTTTCATGCATAAACAGCATCTCCCTCTTCCCTGCATAATTTAAAGCAACTGTGATCAGTGAAATCCAGTATGCTTTTCCCCTCCCCACTCAAACTCAACTCCAGCCCCAGCTGTATGTACATCTAAAGAAGACATTTGAAGATGGATTTATGTGAGAAATACGATTCCCTCCTCTCAAAATAGGTTTCTTAAAATAATAATAAGGTCGCTGCTTTGCTTAAGTTAAACTAAAACTATATAATCAAATTAACTAAGGACACAAAGCCAGCTGCTGTTGGTATTTCTGTGAAGCACCACTGCTACCCCATGGACCAGTACTACCTTTACACTGGAGTTAGCCCAGAGTGATTCTAAATTTAAATGAATTTAAATCAGATTAGAACTGAGGTCAAAGGTTTGCTATAAACCATTTCTAAGGCACAATTGCCCACGGATAAACATAAAAATCTGGGAGCGCTGTGCCTTTGTAAGAAGCTTTCCCAAAGTAGAATTAGGACTGCAGCATTTAAGTGCAGAAATGCAGCTGTGGATTTTCTAAGCGGGATGTGGAATTACACTCGGACACAACCCAGCACAACCCTACACATCCAATGCCATGGTGGTGGTGCCCAGACACTGTGGGAGGGAGCATTACTCAGCAGCCCCTCTTGTGACCTCATCTCATCTCCTTCAGGACAGTCCTGGCAGCACTGGAGCACAGCAGACCCAACCAGAAGCACCAAGAATTTGGCCCAGTGTACACAGCACAAAAATATTCTTTACAGTTCATACACAGAGTCCAGCACGTAGCTGGAAGGCTACTTGAAAAAGCATTCCTGTGAATGCACACATGCATTTCATTGCATTTTGGCTGTTACCACTCGGCAATTCTACGGGACAGAAGAAGTTCTGAGGGATTATATTCCCTGAAGTCCTGAAGGACACCACATTTTAGTTTCACTAGGGGCTGTGTAGGGCTGTGGCTGGTGTGGGGCTGTGCTTTGTACTTGTGCTGAACAGAGGGCTGATAATACAGAGATGGGTTTGTTACTGTGAAGCAGAACTTAACATTGCTGCCACACTGCTGAAAGAATTTAAGAGGAGACACAGCCAGGACAGGTGACTCCAACTGACCAAAGGCACATTCCAAACCTTATGGCATCATGATCAGTGTATAAAGTGGGGAGAAGAAGGAGGGAGGGAGGGATGCTTGGAGTAATGACGTCTGTCCTCCTGAGAAACTGTTGCATGTGATGGAGCTCTGCTCTCCTGGGGATGGTTGAACACCTGCCAACCATGGCAAGCAGGGAATTAATTCCTCGTTTTGTTTTGCAAAATTACAGAATCACAGAATAATGAGGTTGGAAGAGACCTCTAAGATCATCAAGTCCAACCTATGCCCTAACACCACAACTAGACTATAGCATCTAGTGCCAAGTCCAGTCTTTTTTTAAATATATCCAGAGATGGTGATTCCACCACCTGCCTAGGAAGACAATTCCAGTATTTTATTATTCTTTCAGTGAAATTTTTTTTCCTAATATCCAACCTAAAGCAGGGATTTTCTCCCTTTTAGCCTTCCCATTCTCCCCCTGATCCTGCTGTTGGGGAATGAGTGGTTGCTGGCTGAGGTTACACCAGGATGGTCAGCAGGCCATCTTCTCAGCTCCTTCCATGTATGTTCTTCCTTGAACCTTATTTTCCCATGAGTTTGCCATGGACTGTAGCACTCAGCCAAAGGGAGCTCTGAACAACGTGAGGAGTTGCTAAGCCAACGTTGAGAAAAAAGGCAACATTGGATGAAGAAATTGAGCTGCTTAACATACACTGCCAAAAACAAATTTGGAAATTTAACTCATTATCCCAGATCTCCCAGTCTGTCCTAGTCTATCCCAGAAGTTTCAGCTCCTCCTAGTCCCTCCCAGGGCTCTTTGTCCATCTCAGTTTTTCCCAGTTCATCCTCATCCATCCCAGAGCTCCCAATCCATCCAGGCAGTGCAAAGCTGCCTTCTGTTCTTGTGACCAGAGACAGAATCTCTGCACCCTGGAAGTGGGATGAAGCTGAATCAGGGAAGGTTTAGGGTGGATAGCAGGAAAAGGTTATTCCCCCAGAGGGTGGTTGGGCACTAAACAGGGAATTGCCATTTCCCTAGGGAATTGTCACAGCCCCAAAGCTGCCAGAGCTCCAGGAGCATTTGGACAACAGTGCTCTGCTCAGGGTGGGATTGTTGGGGGATCCTGTGCAGGGCCAGGAGCTGGGCTGGATGATCCTCTATCTGGAGCAGCCCAAAATTTTAAGTATTTATTGACACAACAAGATGAAATGGATCATCTGCAGAACAATCTCAGTGACAGATATGTTACACCGAGGAACATTCCCCAAGATAAACGGTGTTGCAGGGGAATATTTATATGCAGACAGAAAACCTCACCATAGAAATAGTTTGGTTTTGTGCCAGAGGCAAACTGAAAGTTTTACTTTAAAAATCTTACTTTCGTTTTCCTTCAATGCAATGATGGATTTGCAATTCTAGTGGAGGAAAAAGCAAGTTTTGGCCTGTGTGCAGTGACGTGTTCCTGTTTTAATGTTTAATCATGTGGGGAATGTATTCCTTGAAGGGATACAGCTCTTTTCCTATCAAAAAATAGAAAATGAAATATAAAAATTTTTTTAAAAAAGATAAAATTAAACCCCTTCTATATTTTTCTGGATGGTTTATTTCCATATGAGTTACCTAACATGGCAAAGATCCAGCTCTGCATCTTCAGGTGGATGGGCCTCTGGGCTGTGGAAACCTGGAAGTACCCTGAACTTGGACAGTACCAGGCAGATTTTGAAAACAGTTCTATGTTTCTCTGTGAATTAAACCACAGCCACTTTGCTCAGATCACAGCTATTTTAGTTATTAGTGGCTATTTTCCCTCAAGACAACACCTCCTCCAAGCAGGTGTTTCTAACCATCAGCAGTGCCAGCTCAACCTTCACTTGGGGAGCACAACCAGAGATTTTCTTTCTTCTCCATCCTGCTTTGTAGCTCCAGTGCTGAAATTCAAGGTCTTCATTGTGGTTGCACCTGGGCAATCCCAGTGATTTCACTGGACTTGCACAGAGCTGTAATAATTGACTGGAATTTAGTAAAAGATGCTCAGAGAAGAACAAAATCTAGGACTCCTCTCTAAGGTCTTACACTGCTAGCAACAAAAATAAACTACAAAATTATATTTCCAATCACAAAATCTAGAAATTCACCTCTAGAAAGCTCTAAATAACTAACTGGCATTTTTATAACTTCACATTTCTTAGTAGATTTATACTTCAATAAAAAGCTTTAATTTGTGTAAAAGCTGCATTGTCCAAATGAGCATCTAGAAATATGAACTGTGGTATCAAATACAGCTCTTTTGTATTTATGACACCTAAAGCACTGTCTGTGCTCTGCAGGCTCAGGACAAGACACGAAACGAGCTGCTTCTGAAATAAGGGGTCCTTATAGTTTTACTGTGGCCTTGAAATAAGTTTAAGACAAGAAGTAAAGGATCCTCCAGAGCCATAAAAGGCCTGCAGAATGGGCAGCTGTGAAAAACAATCAATTCCAGGGTGATGACACAAAAGGAGGTACAATCAAGGACCATCAGTATTTCTGGGATCATCCAGTGGCCACAGTGGTCATTACAATTAAGAAAATTCAGCCAACTTCATGGGATTCTTTCAGCCTATATTTGGGACTCAAACATTTTGAGGGCTTGTATTAGCCCTCAGACTTCTGTGAGGAAAGAAAAAACTGCTGCCATGCTGAGCATCTGCAATGCCTGTGTCCATCCCTGTCTGAATCTAGAAGTTCTATTATCAGACCCCCACTGAAGCAAAACAAAACATTTGTGTTTTAAAATCCACCCATTAAAAGAGAACTTCATTTCTATTCTTCTCATTCAAGCAGCAATGGCATTTTAACAGTAAATGTGTTTGTGTTTTGTGAGCAATGCTCTGTCTCAGGACTGCACATGGAAAACAAACTGTCAAGGTTCATTTGGAGACAGATGAAGAACTGCAAAACCTCTAATTAAAATTTTTTTTCCTGTCCTTGAAACATGCAGAGTAGCACAGACACACCATTAGCTTTCAGTGGAGCTTAGTGGACACTCTCTAAATCTAAATTGTGGAAGCAATGCAGAATAGAGAGCTTTGAGAAGTGTGTGCAAGGCACACATTGGGATCATGGAAATTAATGGATTTTAAGGCTAAGCAATGTTATTTTTAACCACCCCATCTTAGTCTCCTTCGTAACCATGTAACTTCCTTGAGATTATTTTTGCTATAAGGATAATAAATATGATTTAACTAATTCTTTTTTTAAAAAACCCTAATTACAGCTTGAGCATTTCTGTGATGAACAGTCAGTTACAAGCCTTATTAGATCATTCC